CTAAGTATATACATCTGTGTCTGCTCATGCAGGTACATATCTGTATGTGTGGTGTGTGCATGAATATACATTGTTGAAATGGTTAATCCAAGATTAAGAACAACCCTATCCCCTGCTAAATAGGGATGTGAAAATTTGTCAGTCAGAGAGGGTGACTACACTTAAACTTTATTTTAACTGTTAACAAGTGTGATCGGTTTTGTGGCAACTACATAACATAAAGCTTAGTGTGAACTAGCCCAGTCGTTTCCCATTCCCATCTAGACCTGGGCTGCTCTTTTTTTCGAGCAGGCCAGCAGTGATGGTGACCAAATTAAGTGTGCATGAAAGGATCACTTTCAATGATATTGTACTCAGTGAAGCGACCATTTTGAACACTCTGAAATAGCCAATCCCATTGTCATTTTCAGTTATTATCATTGCATTTCTCTGTATTTCATTAGCAAACTCCTTTTGATAATGAGATTTTTTTTTTCCTGCACAGGGATGTTGTGTATTATTTTACACTTTTTGTGTTATTGTCTTAATGTGAAGTCAAGAGCTGCAGGTGCCTTAGACCATCCAGATAAAATAAATAAATAGCTAGATGTGCATGTCAGGTTCTTCAATTTAAAGCAAGTTCAAAAATTCAGATGCAGAGTCAGTTCAGAGGTGGCAGGTTTCAGATTTCATATCCAAAGATATAGATTAAATTGTCCCTCCCACTCTTGTAAGAGAAAGGGCTGCCATTCACTCAGCAACCCTTGTCCGTGGCTTAGGTTTCTGGCTGTGGAGCCAGAGGTTTTTCTGGCTGTCGAGAAGTTGGGAGTTTGATTCTCCACTGTGCCTCCTGTGAGTAGAGACAGCCTATGAAGCCTTGAGCAAGCTGCACAGTCCCAGGATGTCCCCTGTGCTCACGACCTGGGGTTCAATCTCAGGTAGCTGGCTCAAGATTGACTCAGCCTTCTATCCTTCCGAGGTCGGTAAAATGAGTCCCCAGCTCGCTGGGGGGGGGGCAATGTGTAGCCTGCATAAGTAACTTGTAAACCGCCCAGAGAGTGCTTGAAGCGCTATGGGACAGTATATAAACAGCACACTTTGCTTTTTTTTTTTTGCTTTGTTTGTTGGAGAAAATTTGTGTTTTCAGCTTGTCAACAATCTATGATCAAACTTTTCCTGAGGTTTTATAGCATCTTCTCTCCTTTCCTTTTATTTTCAGGCTTTTATGGTAACACAAACCTTGCTAATCTCTATCTTGCTAAATCAAGCCCAAAGTCTCAATATCATTACCTGAAGTACTATTCTGAAGTCATCTATCCAGGTCTGCAGTTCTTGACTGACATTGTGAGGTGAGCATGTTAATGCAAACACTGAACAAGCAACACAGGACCATGTTATGTGACCAGAGCCATATCCCTGAGTGAGCTAGGGAGGTTTCCACACTAGGGTTGAGTTCCAATTGCTAGTCTCAAATTGTGGAGAGCCACAGATTCCAAGGAAGCTAAGTAAGTACAGTACTTGGAAGTTAAGTATGGCCATTGACTCAATGGGTTCTCAATGTTGTGCATGCAATAGCCACATTTAGTTGGCATAGTTTTTGCAGAACATCTACAGTGCATCAAAATCACCAAAGCACTGCTTGGCTCTAATTCTTGGTGGTTTTTGGTTTCTTTTTTTGGCCAGTAACAGAACGGCATAATGTCTGCAGGTATGGATTGTTCAGGGCACTGCTTTTCATGGAAATCTTTCTGGTGGCTGCCATTTTATCATTCAGGGGTTTTTCCTAAATGTAATTTTTTTATTTTGCTAAATTTATTTTCTGGGTATTTATGTTATATGTAAATTAAATAAAAAGTAAAGTGTAAGTGTTATAGCACAAGTTAGTTGCTCCCCAACACAGATACTACTACTTTTCTCACAACATTTGCTGCTTATCTAAAATAATTTTTTGTGCAATTGATTTATTCACAATACCTTTAAAGAAGGCCATCTTAAGGGTAAAGGGTTTTTAAACATTACTTCTCAGTTGAGACGGATCTTAACCTTCTACTCCTGCCGTTGCTATTCTTTTTAAATCTTGGATTCAAGCCCTTATTTCTTATAATGACTGGAATTGGATATCCAACAGCCAAGTCCAGATCCACACTTGGTAGGTTCATGGATGAAATATTCTTTGTCTGTGGGGGTAGCTGTTGTGAACCCTGTATGGAGGGTTGAGCCCTCTGCTTGGAGGAGTGGATCAAATCCAAAGTTATGGGGTCCTTGAATTGGTCTGTGCCGCTATCCTTGAGGGGCCTCCTGGAGTTAGGATTCTCTCTCTGGGCGTCCTTGGCTTGTGTTACAGCATGCTGGGTATTGACGCCAGATTCTTTCCCTTTTCAATTCTATTTCATCTAATCTACTTAAGTAGGAGGAAAGCAGGGCAACTGATTTTTCTACAACTCTGCAGTATGTTTTTCTGGATGGGCTTTGCATGGGAATGATGGAAGAGGTTTGAGGCCAAAAACTATATGTTTCAGTTGAAGTGGATGGGGTTAGGGTTAGGGGGGAATCTTTCATACATTTAAATACCACTGTGCATTATGAAATCTGATTTCAAAACTGTTGTATTCAACTTCAGTTGGTGGTTCTAAATAGTGCTGTTGGAGGTGGGAGAAGTGTGTGACATTTGGTATATAGGCTGTCTATTTTTCTTTATATTAATGCAAATCATCTCTTTCAGGGAAGGGGAAGGACTATTTTCGAAAACACATGGCATGTTACCAAACAGTTTTTTTGAGGCTTTTTACAGGTAAAAAGAGGAAAAAATGGTATTGTTTTTAAGAGAATGGTCTAAATGTGGAATCATATCACAATTAAGCTAGTCTTTGCCCTTGTCCTTCTTTGCATGCTGTGTTAGTGCAGCTGTCTATAACTCAGAAATCCCTACATACTCAAAAGATCTACACAAATATTGCCACTTGCTTCAACAGAGATCCATGTTCATATAACTTTACATATGTGGCTGGTGCCCCACCTTTACCATAAGGTGGTTGAATAACACTAGCCAAGACAGCTCATTCCAAACTCCAGAACAGACAACAGGTTTGGCATATTTTTAGAAGAGGCGAAAGAAATTTGTTTCTCATAGCACGTTTCTGTCCTCGTTTCCTTGTACTGCATGTAGTGTCCTTTGTTTGTGATTGGTAAGTGGAATTTAAACACAGACTTGGTGGCTGAAAATTTCCCAGTCCTGATTTCATTTCATTCTTCACATCCTTGCTTTATACTGAATTTTGATAGTTTTTTCCCCTACTCATAGCAAAATTCATGTACATTCTGGTGCATTTCCCCCAAACTGAGCACTTATTTACACATCACGTAATGTATACTTTTTCTCCATTGATTACAGCATGTTTCTATGTGGATTCTTCAAATACATATATTTTGGCTATCTGCATTCCTAATGTGAATATTTTCACTCTTGAGAGGTGCAAAAGTACTTATTTCAAGACTGATTTATCTAGTGTAGTTCTTTTTCATCTCTGTCCTGAGTCTCTATTTATAGTCTGCAAATTGCAAGAATTAATTGTACATCAGAATGTAGGAATGTTATCTGCCATTGTCCTTTTCAATTCTTAGATCAGAGGAAGAGATGCAAAGATTTTCTGATACCATGGATGATGCCTGGAATTTGTATGGTAGAGAAGTGATGTCTGCATTTAGTCTTTCTCATTTTCCACTCATTTATGATTTGGGAGGTATGTAGCATAAATTCTCAGCTGCCTTCCATTGCAGATAACTTGAAATCGTATTATTGTATAAGTTGGGGGGTTTGTAGGATGATCAACCTCCCCTTTTACCCTACTTCCTTGTGAATCTTTTGTTGTAAAATCTGCATCGCATTAAAAACCCAGACTGAGTTGGCCAATCATCGCTCAGGAGTTTCCCTTTATTAGTTAAATATTATCAGCAGTTACCCTTTTTGTTCAGGAAAATGTTGATCACTCTTAATAAATGAGCTGGCTGGAATACTTGGTGAGTTGCGTACCAGAGGTACTATTGGGCGTTGGATTCCCCCTTGTGTATCCCAGAAGAGCCAGCCTGGGTACCCTTGGGCAAGGAACACAGTAGCAGGGCTGATTAAACCCCTAGAGGAAGGAACTGATAAACCACCTCTGAATACGCTAGACCTCAAAAGCCCTGGAAATTACTGACATAAGTCAGGATTGACTTAATAGCACTTTATTATGGTGGTGGTTGGTGCCGTTGCTCTTAGATGGCCACAAGTCAAGGAAGTACCAATATAGGTGGTTGTAGATGTGGAAGCCTTTCTGGACAAGATAATGTGTTCCCTTTCCCTATCTGTCCCTTCTGGGATTAGGAATAATGTCATCAAACTGTATGCATGTTTAAAAAAAACCCTGCAGTTTGAAGTAGAATATAATTTATTTGTCACAGTCAGGTGACCAGGCCACAAAACATTTCCATGGCTAAAACAAACAAAATACAGTTCAAAAATATACAAACAATTCACAAAAGATAGCATGTGGCCAAAATACACAAAATGCAGTTCAAAAGTATATAGCCAATCCTTAAAACACACTGCATGGTCAAAACACACACAATGCAATTAAAAAGTGCACAACAGGCAATCAACAGCGCACTGATCGTAAAACACATTGAGAATAAAACACAGCGCCTCTACAGCTATTCCCCGGGTCATTGTCCCTTCGGTTGGGACCATAACACCTTTCCATGCTAGACACTAAACCACCCCCATGCCAAAACGAATCAACCCATGAGCTCAGGAGACTACAAGGGAGCGCTCTGCCATTGCTGCCCCACAAAATCTTGCTCTGCAGTTTGAAGAAGGAAGACAGACTGAGTACAGACCGACAATGAATCTGAAAGGATCAGAATAATAAAAACTTCTCCTGTAGAGGATGTGATAAGTGTGGCCTTTGTGTGTCTGTTGGAACGTGTGATGCTGTACCTTAAAGCTATGCCAAGTCTCTGCATTTGTAAACAAATGAAATATTACACGGTGCTCTGAGTCACCAGGCTGCCTCACCTCAAAGATAATTGAATTTGCTGAAGTGTTGCGCTTCTGGATATTCATATTGTTTCAAGACCTGTAGTGAACAGACCACCGTGGAATTTGTAAGATAACCAGGTGAATGCCCCTGACCAGTTCAGGTGATTTTGCAGTTAATTGGAGTGTGGGTGGGGACTACACTGGCAAATTAACCAAAATGTACATCAGAATGGGCACAGATGAATTCAAATTAAGGCCCATTATGCTGATCTCGTGACCGGAAAGCTGTGTTCCCACAAGGGCCAAGATATGTGATTGTAAAGGCACATCAGTTTCCTAGCTATGCAACTTGCATTTCCCCTGCTTTATTATGTGCTTTTGCAGGAAAAAGTCAGAATAGCCTGTGATCTGAAATTTAATAAGGAATAAGGTTAGCAGGATACAAAGGGCAAAAGGTTGGATAATCTTAGAAAGAAAGATTTGAGAAGGATCTTTTGCACAGCAGAGAAAGTGCAGACAGGCAGGAGAATGATCCAGAGAAATACACATTAATTGATGTATTTCTGTATATTACCTGTGTGGATATGATGGTTAATCTAGCCATTTAAAAATTGGAGATTTAGGTCATGAAATTGTAATCCTTTTCCTACCTATCATAATCTTCCATGCCTACAGTCTATAATATATTCCCTCTCCTCCGAAATTATTGTTTCACCAGGTTCCTCTTTGTATTGCTCTTGTTCAGCCTTGTTTTTCTGCTCCCTGTGAAGTTGTGGTACTACTTTACTGTCAAATACTCTATGAATCTCTTAGAACCAATGGAGCAGGATATGTCTCTTTTTGCACTGTAATGTCTGTGAAACAGCTAGATAGCCATTGATTCGGTTTTCTACCCTGAAGTTTTACAAAAGGGTGTTTTGAAAAAAGCTTGAAATGCACAACATCGTAACAATTTTGTAAAATTTTTACATTCTGTTCTTTCTTTAAGGGGGTAGTGGCGCCTTGGCTAAGGAATGTGTCTCCTTATATCCAAATTCGATGGTGACCGTTTTTGACCTTCCTAAAGTAGTGGAAAGAGCAAAGAAGCAACCTATGTCCTCAGACAAAAGGCAGATTACATTCCAGGAAGGTAAAATATGGTTTCCTTTGAGATCCTATCTGAGTTTAAATTGTAGGTAATGTTTACTAGCTGGACGGACAGCAGGCAACAATACCTACCTCATTGTGATGTATGATTTCTAAAAAGTAGACCAGATTCTTCTTCTTTGAAGGGGCAATATAGACCACATGTTCAGCACAACATTTTGCAGAATGTGATTCCTCTCTCCTACTTTGCATTTAGTATGGTTTGGTTTGTTTGTTTGTTTGTTATTGGAAGGCAAACCTAGGCTTAATCTGCAAGCCTGATTGCTAAGGCATGTCCCTACGTAGTGGGAAAATGGATAAATCATGTTAAGTTAAGTGTCCTTTTATTAGCAGCGTGGTTGACCCTAAAAGAAAGTGCTTAACTCAACTGTGGTGTGCCTGTTTCATTACAGGGGACTTTTTTGAAGACCCGGTTCCTGAAGCTGACCTGTATATTTTGGCTCGGATTCTGCATGACTGGGAGGATGAAAAGTGTTTGCAGCTGCTAACCAAACTGCACCAAGCCTGCACGCCTGGTATGTCTATTTCCACCGCACTAAAAGTCTGTAAGGTGAACAGAGGTATAATAGAAGTCAAACATGGAAGAAATCCAGGGGAAAGGGCATTTCAGACGTGGTATTTGAGAACATAGGTAGTCCAAAGCCCTATTCAGGCCTTACTTGCCTGATTTTTGGCAACACATTTACAGAGGAGTTCCTATGCCTTCCCTTCTCCCTCTTGTCATATTCTAGCTGGAATGCAATGTGTCTGAAGAGGAAGGGTTCTGCCTACATCTGTGCTGTACTGGCAAGCAGAAATCCTGAAAAACATGGGGTCTTGTTTGCAGGGAGAGTTTATTCATGAGTAGGAATTATAGATGGGCACAAACTACAGTTCGGCCCACCCTGGTACAGCCGCCACACAAGCATTCTGCTGGTCCCATGCGCTCTCCTCTCCCGCCTCCTCTGCACTTGCCCATTCCCTGGGCGAAGCACGCTACCCTCTCCCGCCTCCTCAACGCAGCTTCTGCCTGTCTCTAGTAGGAATAATTCTTCTTCAGACAGATCATTCCTCACATATCATGGAGAAACCAAAGGAGAGGAGAGTACTAGGCAATCCTCTCTAGGAATGCTGCTGAGAACCATGTAAATAATGACTGTGACTATAATTTTGTACTCTTTTGGAAGTTTTTTTCTCCCAATGTTTGATGAATTTGTCCTTCCTGGCACCCTCGCTGGGTGTTTTTAAAAGCCAGTTAAAAACTTGGTTATTCAAGAAGGCCTTCACTCCAGTCAGTTAAGTCTTTCTCTTTTTTCTTTTCTTTGCTGTTCCATCTTGGTAATCCTCTCTTTAAATTAATTGTTTTAAATTGAAATT